GTGACGAGTTTGTCGACCAGTCTACAATCCTCACTGATATAAATGCTCTTTGTACGGCTACCTTCAGCCCACCATCTCAAGCACTCAGACACAAACACAACTTGCATTCACAACTCACCAACATTCCCATCCTGACAGTCCTATCTACTATTCACTTTTGATCTTACACAATGCGTCAATCGGATAAACCAGATCCCAGACACAAGACCTGGGAATGCAAACAGCCTATCAGTCGTCGTTCCCTTGAGACTTGCGATACCCTCAACAATGTCGAACTGATGACATGCCGAATGTGCGGCTACAAGATCAACGGTGTGGAGAAGGTGAGGGCCTTTGATGAAAATAACCAACACATCGGGAATCTCTACAGCCACGACTATTTGTATGGTGTCACGATTTGGGAGTACTTCGAGTAGGTTCTCAGCGACTATTCAACCATGAGCGACGCAACGATCCGAACGACCATGAACGCTGGTGCTAAGAGCTGAGGAACTACAAACAAAGCGACCAAGAACGGAACGAGAACCAATAGAGACAAGACCAACGGACTGGGAACTGATGGGAAGGGGGGTCAATGGAGCGACCACAATTGGAGTGCTGGGAGGTATTCGAATTGACATTCTAAAACGTCTATTCAATCTGGACATCGACCGGTTTGAAGGTGGACAGGCTTTCTCATGGTTTATGGTCACGCATGCTTTTGTTTTCTCATAAAGGTCTATCTTGGAAATTACCCTTCAAGATACGACACAATAAAACAGCTTAAGCTTACTCGTATTAATTTTTAACTTGTGACCAAATGTGGAAAATGGATAAAGCGAGCCATAAGCTGTATATTCTGTTCAAGGACTTTGCTCCTCTCCGAACGTCGTTGATCTTACGACACTTCATTGCTGCTTTTGACTCAGAAATTCCGCAGATAAGGACTCTTGTGTTATGAGTGAGAGTAATAATTGATCTTAGAAGCCCCTCCGGTGCTGGTTTACAGGGACATGAAGGCCGTGATGAGTCAGTTGCTTTGTCTCTGAACAATGTTCTCATGCGTGAACAGTGTTCAAGAGTCGCAGCTCTATGGCAAATAGTCACTACAAGATACGAAATTCCAGTGCTGGGCTAAGTGTATCGATCGTATTGGCTGTGGTTCATTCGTAATCAGTTCCTGCTACCAACTGGTATAAGTCATCCTCCTTGCCCCCCCAAAGCCATAAACACGCAAACAGCACAAAAACATCATCACAACCGCACACCCGGAAACTTCCTCATTGTCTACAACCGCAATGTTTGACGAAGCGGACCGAACAAGCGAACACACCCACTGGCGATGCATACGCTGTGCCAATGCTAAAAAGCCAAACGTCAACGAAATGGCCGACCAAGCATGCGTTCATTGTAAAGCCAACCGTGAGCCTGGAGCAGCTGCTCTGGATAAAGACTTCAACACCATTGGGCAGTTGGTCAAGATACAAAGAGAAGTCTGGGCGTGGAATCCCAAAAGGCTAGTTCGAAGTGGTGGCCCGAATGGGAAGGGGACGGAGGAGGGAAAGTGATCAAGACGAGGGACTTTGAGCAATCATGTCTATGGCAACAATACGATGTTATTGCGATAGAATTATCAATTGAGCAATACTTCAGAGAGTGCTGTTGATCATCTGACTTGCGGATGTCCTAAGTGACCACCATTCGTTCTACTCGTAAGCTTCGCGCATAACGTTCCATCGCCAACACGACAGAGCTCCCCTACGCTAAGATCATTATATCTTTCTATAATATGGTTGTAAGATACAATCATGGAATCTTTAAGCATTAGGATTAATATCTGTTTAGTTTAGATTGTAATGAACTCGTCTCTACCGTCACAGCACGATTGCGAATCTCGTCAAGTATTGCTCGGAGAAGAGCTGCATCGCAAACATGGGCATTTAGGCTTTATGAATGTGATATATGTTCATTTATTTATAGGATTGTAGGGGCATTGTCAACGTTACATGCATAAAGAGATCAAGATTTGTCCCCGGAAAAATGTGACTCGGCGTCATAATGACAATCCTGCAGGGGATATGCTCAGGACACACAGAATTTAGTTTATTGATGAGCCACTCGGCGAATTCACTCATTGTGTGTCCGCTGAGTTGTAATTACTCAGTGATTGTTTGGCTCTGGGGCCATTCCAACCGCAAACACGAGCAATCACTGATACTGAGAGCTCTGAATGAGATTCACGTCGGTACATGTGTAACTCTTATCGTCGAATCACTAATCATCCGCACAATCACCTGCATGAACTCATGTATATATCTGGCTCGGTTTTCACCCTTCCTCCACTCACTCATCAATTACACGACGATCAAAATCCCATCCCTGCACTCACTTACACCAACAACCCAATATTATCCACATCGCAACACCACCACTTGCATCTGCACAATGTCAGAGAATGTTCAAAAGACAACAACTCAAATTCGGGGTGATCACAAAAAGTGGCAATGCCACAAAATGATCGATGAACCAGGTCACGCCAGATGTGTTGCCACTATGAGCATGAACGTCGACACTTGTACGCATTGTGGACAGCGTCGCGGGAAGAACGCTGTTGCTCTGGCTCAGAACGATGATGTGTTGGGTAGCCTTGTGGACTTTGAGGCTGATGGAACAGAGAAATGGCACTATAATCTCAAAGTGAACGGCGTGCACAATTGAGCCTGTTCGGGGTTGATAGGGCGAACATGACATACCGGCGTTCAGCGATCCAACACAGAAAGAGATTATAAATTGACTCTACAAATCTTTTCCTCTTCTCTCATTCATTACAAGCCAAGATTGTATTTACTTCCATTGTAGACGCAACCACATCGAACTGTAATCATGTCTGGCCCAACCACTACCATCCGCAAAGACCACACCAAGTGGCAGTGCAACGAGAAAGCTGGAAACGACGACAAAGGTGAGCCCATTGAGTGTCAAGAGGTCATGAAGATGAGCGAGCAAGTCTGTACGAAATGCTTGTGTATTCGCAGAGTCGGCGCCACTGCGATGACCGAGGATGAGATGTATCTTGGTATGCTTGTTTCTATCACCAAGGGAATCAATGAGTGGTGGGATTATTTGCCAGAAATGCAGGAAGAGAGTTGCGAGGAGCCCATTGACACTGTGATGGGGGGCATGTGAGCTAGAGGGTTGGGCTTAGGCAGTGAACATAGGTAGCTAGGTGAATAGTGATGTATGGACTGTAGTTTACTGATTCATGGATATGAAGGGCACAGAGTACACAAGACCAGTGAAAAGATGTTTGTCAGACAATGAATAATACTCCTGAACGATGACCAATGCTAGGTATAATAGCGGCCCTTCACCCAGTGACTCTCACCCAAACAGCACACACAGAAACGTCTTACTACAACTTCAAACAACTCAATCTCTTGAACAAAAAATAGCACCACGCCACAATCATGCCTGCCCCTGATGTCGATAAAGCAACACAATCCAAAGTTCGCGGCGACCACACTCACTGGCGCTGCATGCATGGACCGGAAGACAACCCATGCTATACCAGACTGGAGATGACCCAAGAACATTGCACTGTATGTGGAAATGGCCGGAAGGTGGGCTCGGGTGCTGAGGCGCACAATGAATACCAGCTTGGAACTCTGCAATCCTTTGGTCCGAATGGTGAAGCGATTTGGCACTATGAGACAGCCAGGAACGGCTGTAGTTGATGGGCGTTGGACCGAAAGAGAGACCCTAGCATGAGACTTTTGATTCAGTGTATATGGGTGCTATAAAATACACTATCAAACTTCCGTTCAATATCTTTTTCTTGACATCGACGTATCAAAGCGCAAACTCACCCACAACGTATCTAAAATGCCTTTCAAAACACTAACACCCGTCGTCCGCAGTGATCACACCCACTGGCGCTGCAACAAACTTGTAAATGGAGGCATCTGCAATCAGAAGAATCCCATGACAGAGAAGACATGCAGTGTTTGTAGTATAGACCGTGGGATTCGCTCTATTGCCTTGGCGAGTAATGATGACGTACCCGGGGTGCTTGTTTCTGTGGACTCGGAGGGTAGGGACATGTGGTTTTATAGTATCACGACAAATGGAACCTCCTAGTTGTGGGGGATGGACTAGCGTAGACAAACAAGTAGTTGAGCTATCGTGACATTGCCAAGGGTACCAATAAACAACTACAATATGACAATATGAATCTATAAGAAGAAGTGTATTTCTTTTTGGTAACGCGAAGCCAGAGATGCGGGCGCTCTTGGTGCAGCTGGCACGAATCTTGTCGGTCTCTCCATGGCGGCCTCGGTGAAGAGACATGAGCTTACAGTCAGTCTGAACCTATTTTGCTGCGATGCGCGGCGTATTTACATCTTTTGCAGTGTTACACTGTGTTCTGCAAGCATTGATTCGGGAGGACAGCAGAGTAGCGCTATATACTTGACTGTTTCCCCCTTGACTCTACAGTACCCAACCCCAAACATACTCCCCAGACAATCCAGAAGACGCACAGCCAACATTTACAATAGTGCAACACAAACATCCAAAGCTCCCAACATATCATCTCATTACCTAACATGCCTCTTATGGAGCGTACGACCACCGTACGTGCTGATCACACCCACTGGAAGTGTGTCAGACCCGAGCCTAACGGAGGTTTCTGCAATATAACAATGGCTATGAATGAGAACCAGTGCAAAAAGTGCGCTTCGATTCGTGAGCCCAGGTTTGCATATGCTATGACAGGAGAGGGGCATAAGGCTGGAGTTCTTGGGAGCGTTGGTCAAGATAAAGTTGAGATGTTGCATTACGAATTGGAGACTTAGAATGGGATCTCCTGACGGATAGAAGTCAAATGGTGAGCAGGTGATTGCCTCTGGAACTAAATGGAGACCTAGGAGAAAATATAATCCCGTTGGAGCTCTGCCTCAACCGTGCTCGTATCATGATATCTCCAAGTTGCCTCAGCGCACACATCCGCATCACAGTCTCTTCTAAGTCCCACTAGCAGCTCGATCATTAACCAAATCATCATATGCGATGTCGTAGTCACCGAACCCCGCGACCGTTGTATACAAAACCGGATCCGGCTCATCAACATCATAAGGCACAACGTATTCCCAGACTTCTTCTCCCAGAGCCGTATAATCCTCAAGGTGTCCGATTATCTCCCAATTATCCCTCAACGCCAGAGTTCCGACTCTTCGGGCTGATTTGCATTTGGGACATCCCAAGATTGGTACTCTGATGGCACGGCCTTTGTCGTCCTGACCAAACTCAAACATGGCGTTGACTTGGCAGTACTCGTCGTTGACTGTGGTCATACATTGCCACATGGTGTGATCGCCACGAATGGCAGTGACTGGAGCCATGATGTGTTGCAGTGAATATACGGGAGTTTGGTAAGAGTTGGTTGTCTGGGGGTTGCTTGCTCGATATCAGGTGGTGCATTGTGAGGGCTTATATTGAATAAGGATGGGGACAACCAGAGTCTCTGTAAGTAAAGAGATTGATTCTAGTTGAAGAGACGCAGTGAAAAAAGGATGGATTAGGGCAGTGTGTACACCGCTGAATCCTAGAGGCACTCCTTTTGGGTGCTGTGCGTCTGATGCGCAGAGCAGCAGCACTTATTAATACGCCTTTAGAGTCATTCATCAGGATATCTAGCTTTCCAGCCAACAGTAAGATCTTAAGAAACAGCGAAGGCAACAAGTATCTTGCCCGTATTTTGCCCGTATGTGCTTTTGGGCGTTCTTTTAACTTTAAGCCCTGAGGGCTGAATCCTCTTTTAACCTCTCAACCTTATCACAGCACAATCCACATAACGATCACGAAGTTCCTGTCTTCATTTATCGACAGTGATCGCTTACTTGACTAAGGGAAATATATTTTGATCGATCGGGTCGATTCTGACTGTATTGTCCTTTTGACGTCCTGTTTCACCCACTAATCATAACGATAGGTAGCTCTCTTAGCCCTCGCGTCCCAAATGTCCACCCTCTTTGCTTCGTGAAGGTTCCAGACTGGTTTCCCGTTTGAATCAATTCCCTCGCATTGCCCAATAATGTCAATGTCAGCATCCAATGCCGTTGCTCCCTGAGCAAGTTCAGCCTGGCACCCTTTACATGTCTTCTCGTCAATGTCGTTATGCTTTGTGCAGGTGTCATTCATGCAGAGCCAATAGGCGATATTGACTTCAGTAGGCTTGGTCATTTTGGTTGAAGTGAATGATAGAGTTGTGTGTTGTTAGGTTTGTGTGACTTGGGGTGCTCGATGTCCTGGGTAACAAGCAGGGGACGTTTGGGACTTTTATGCGTCATTGGAGAGTAGGTCCAAGGACTTTGTTCACAGTCAATAATTTTTACTCACTGTGTGTATGTGTTCAGGCAACCTTTGTTCAGTGTAACGGGACAACTTGCAGTATGTCGACCAAGGGAGAAGTGTGAATGGCTCATACGGCAGTTCACTATCGTGTCCGCGATCTGAGTTAGTGTACCAATCGAGTCTCTGGAGACAAAAATTAACCACTAATTAATTCCTCTTATTCAGTAAATGCTTCAGCTCAAAGATGCATGCACGCAGGCCCAGGACATTAGTTCTACTAATCGCGAGGTCAAAGCTAAGAGGCAAGTAGACACGACATATTCGTCAAATCAGCTCATTTTCTTTCCATTATTAAGTAAATTGAGAATCTCTATGATTATTCCTTCCCAAGACAAAACTGATGAATATCTCTCCTAGGTTCAGTCAATAATGAAATGAATCGTCCAACTTTCACTGCCATCGTCCTCAACGTCCACCATCCAAAGCGGCTCTGGTTTATCACAGCCAGGCTTTATCTCTCCAAGGTCGGCTGTCGAGCCGTACGAACGTATGTTGCCGCATTTAGAACAAATTTCGTTCTCTATGTCTTCATTTCTCCCTCCGCATGGCGTCTTGTAGGGCCGATCAAGTCCTCCAAAATTGCATGTCCATTTAGCGTTCTTTGGGACGAAACTGTCGCCGTGTTCAGTCACCATGTAACAGTTCGGATCATCTTCTGGTGTTGTAGACATTGTTTAGAGATATAGGTATATTTATATGGGTTGTTCAGAGAGATGATTGTTGCCGTATTGCTGAGTGTTGTGTCCTTGGAGGAGTGGTCAGGCAAGTGGGAAAGACTCTCAACTTATGCATGTTAGATGTCAGTGGTACTTCACGAGAAACTAATCAGCGTTTCTGTGCTCGAATAATTGCCGTAAGAAATGCAGTCATTGATACACAGTCAATCTACCATGACACCCTCTCACTCACCTTCCTGTATCCATAGTCAAAGCTGATGGGCTTCTCACAGACGCGGCAAGTAGCCTGAATCAGTCGCATCTACTCAGACATCGCATTGCCTCAAGTTTACGTTAGCGCAAATGAAAGACATGATGTCTTTTCAGTGCAAGTTCACTGCTCATTTCTACGTGGCGAAATGAGCTCTCAGTCACGAATCTGAACTGCACATATCACATCTGGCTTACAGCTTCTAGGCACTAAATCATTGAGAGAAACTTGTTCCATTGAGAAATCCCATCCTCACATCACCCCCTAAAGATTATTTGGATGCGAATCAAAACGAGCCCAAAACTCATTCTTCTTCCGACCAAACTCATACGTCCAAATTTCAGCCCCGTAGTCAGTTACACCACGAATCTCCCAACACCTCCCCTTTACCCCCTCATCAAGCCTCTCCCCAACGTGTGCGACTGCATTAGAGCGTATTTTATGGCACCTCTCGCAAATCTTGTTCCTTATATCCTTATTTACGTGTCCGCACTGAGATTCTGTTGGTCCAGATTTACACGTCCATTTAGCGGTCTCGGGGATGAAGTCGTCGCCTTCCTGAGTCATGATGCAAACGTTCTGATCGCCTGATTGTGCAGCAGCCATTTTTTATAGGCTTAGGTAGTATTAGGAAGCTTGTCGTCACTGTGTTGTATTGTCGTGTGTTGTGAGGAGTGGTCATGGATGGTGGCAAGACCTGCAACTTATACACGTGGTCGACAGGCTGGTACTCACATCGCAATCACAGAGTGAGAATGCCTAAAACACTGCCATGACGGTACTCCAATTGATAAATTGTCACTCTACCAAGTCTTACATTCAGTCAGCTGCCCATACTTACAATCAGAAGCGGAAGTCCTTCAATCACTAACCTCTCTCCAAGCAAGGCTTCTCTTCCAACGCGGCTCATAAGTCTTCCAACCAGCAAAGGCGAAGACTCAGAAACTTGAAGTCGCATATCGGGTGCTTCATCTCGGCGGTAAATGTTCTATATGTGTATTGGCCACCTTGGACAAGTCGTTCAAGGTAGGTAGTGTCTGTTCACGAACTTGGAAATCCACACATGTCGACAACTCCGCCAGGTTATATGAGGCAGAGGCCATGATTAATCAAGCCACGGGAGAGAACATATCATGCCGCTAACCCTTTGCTGTATTTCTGTTGTTGTGAAGTGATGATCTTGCTAACCCTACCATCAATTACGCTCTCTTCTTCCTTTTGCCACTCCCACTACCTGTAGCCCCCCCCTGGGCCTCTCCTCCGTTCTCCGGCAGTTTCTTCCGCTTTTTCGACTGTGCTTGTCTTGCCGGCTGTTTCCCCTGCCTTTTTGACTGTGCATCCTCCTCCTCCTGTTCTTCCGGCTCCTCAAGATCCTCATCATCCACCTCCCCATTCCGCCCATTCTCAACCCCGCCTCCCATATGGCTAACTTCAATCACCTCACCAGTCCTTGCCGCACTCCCCTCTCCGTTGGTTCCAACAGCGTCAACGGCCCCCAGAGGCGCAGACAAATTGTTCTGGGCACCGACTCCAGGGTTGCCAGACCTCTCAGCTGCAGTGGGATTATTGTTGGGATTGATTCCATCGATTCCATCGATACCACCAGGACGCCAAGACACAGGCGGGGAGCCAGACTTGAGAAGATCCCTCGGTGCACTTCCCCGGTACATTTCTTGTATAGCCAGAGTATCAGGGTAGTACCAGTGTTCGTTGGTGCGTCCGTCCACATGCACCAGGATCCCGATAAACTCGTGCTGGGGACCGAGAGCGTGGGCACCTGCTTCTCGTTGAAGATGGCATTGCCTGCAGAGGGGATAGAGCATGGAGTTGATCACTAAGCAGGACACATCATGGCATCTCCATCCCATGTGGTCGACACGTGTGCTGAGATTGAATCCTGTAAAGTGTACCGGTAGATTGGCATATTTCGTACCCAGTGGTGGGAAAAGAATTTGCTGGGGGGCGCCTGGTGGATTCGGTGGTGGTTGATTAGGCGAAGGTCCATTTGGGTTGGCTGGTTGCATGATGTGAAGTGATAATGGTTTAGACGATATATGTCTGCTGTGCGTTTTGATGATAATGGTGATGGCGCAGTTGACGAAGAAGATGACAATTGAGAAGATGATGATGCTGAAGAGAAAAGAAGAGAAGAGAAGAAGGGGGCTGCTGAGAATGGATTGAGGTAACAGTTGAGGGAGGGAAACAACTCGGGAAAGAGCCTGTTGAGGTGGGAAGAGCGACGCGTGGCCACCTCAAGTCGGAGTACAACACTTGCTCGTTTGACGACATGAGGGAGGTACAATGGACAGGATGCCTGGACGAGACAGCAACTGGATCATGGGAGGGAAGGCAGAAGGGATATCACCGATGGAAGGCGTGGAATGAGAAGCAGCCAGAAAGAGGATGAATACGGACTTGATGGCGATGATGACCAGAGGAGCAGTGAGAACAGGACGAGAAAGACAGCTCCCGTGGTGACCTGATGCGCCTGCAAAACGGGTAGATATCACAAGCCCAAGAGGCGAGACAGATAATGACCAGGGAGCGGAATGGTGAGAGTAATGAGGGGATCACCAAAGCGACATCGGCAACATTGGGAAGAGACTCGCGTGAAGCAATTCGTGTTCTTTATTGCTACTCCAGTGCAGAGACTCGTCTGTGTCAAACAGCTATTCTTGGGCATGTTCCCTCCAAGACAAATCAACCGTAATTTCTGTAATCACCAGCGATCGTGTATCTCCCCATAAACCATCAGAGCAAATCTTCAATCCCTAAAGTTGAGGTTCCTCAAATGCGGGGGGAACCGGGGATGAGCAGCTGACCGATCCTCATCCTTACTCCCCTGCTCCTTCGCATCTCCCCCTCCAACGTCATCGTCCAAGAATGACCAATCCGCATCCCTAGCAATACCCCCAGCATCCACCCCAGGCGGAGCAAACAGAATCCCCATGATCCGGCCCGAGGCCATCGTCGACGACGCCTTGGTATACAACTCCTTCATCGCCTCGGCACTCTCGACATCAAACACGAGACCAGAGTTATTTTTGCCAATAGGGAGATGGGCACAAACGTTTGCTCGTTCAGGTTTGACGGCGTTGATGTCGACGACTTTGAGGCCGAGAGTTTCGCCGCGCTGGTTGCGGATGACTTGGAGTTTGAGGGAGTCGACGTAGCGAAGAGGGTCTTTTGGGTTGACGGTCTTGCGAGGACTAGGAGGGGAGGCGGCGTTACTTTCAGGGCTCGTAGATTGGGGGAGGACTGAGCGGCGGGAGGGAGGATGGTGCTGAGGGAAGTCGTCGACAGTACTGGCGCGGTTTCGGCCGGGCGGGATGTCGATGGGGGTAGAGAGCTTTGGAGGCGACGACTTCATCTTGTCAGGATCCATGTCTGATGTTGGATTGATGGCGATGTTTCTCTTGTCTTATCGATGGGAGGGTTGATAGAAAGATGTTTGGGAGAGGAGATGATGCGATTTGGTAGATGTGAGAATTGCGATATGCTGTCAGTCGTTGCCACTGTCGTTTGCAGCTCGCGCAAATAATGGCAAGAATAGCCTCAATGACTCCATTCACTGCAGGAGCATGACGTAGAATGCAGTGGAAGCAACCTTGATGGGGCACAGAATTGTTGTTGCGATGCCGTTTGTTTGAGGATGTTTGCTCCAGATGCTCCTTCTTCACAGCCTTGGGTTGTACACAGTATCGATACCGCCAGTGACAATCGTCTTGAGAACCATGTAATCATCAACACCATATTTGCTACCTTCACGGCCCATACCAGAGTGTTTGACACCACCAAATCTACAAACAGTCAGTCGCTGATACACTTCAACAAGTGTTTGCACTTACGGAGCTGCCCAATCTGAGATGACACCAGTGTTGATGGCCACCATACCAAACTCCAATCTCTCCTGCATACGGTACGATCTCGCAAGGTTGTTTGTCATGATGTATGAAGCCAGTCCAACATCAGACTTGTTTGCCCTTGCGATAACCTCGTCTTCTGTCTTGAACTTGGTCAACGCCGCAAGAGGACCGAATGTCTCTTCGTAAGTCACAGCCATCGTGTCATCAACATCACACAGGACTGTCGGCTGGAAAAAGTTCTTCCCGAGATCGGATAATCGCTGGCCGCCGACAAGAAGAGTAGCCTTTTTATTGAGTGCGTCTTTGACATGCTCTTCAACCTTGTCTACACTCGTTGTCATCGGACCATGTGTCACTGAAGGGTCAGTACCGTTACCGACTTTGAACTTGCCGACTTCCTCAATTAGGCGCTTGGAGAATTGATCGTATATGCCTTCCTGGACGTAGATTCTATTGGCACAAACGCAGGTTTGCCCGGTGACCTTGAACTTGGCAATTATGGCGCTGGATACCGCAGTCTCGAGATCGGCATCATCAAACACGATGAAAGGTGCGTTACCTCCAAGCTCTAGAGATAACTTCTTAAGAGTATCGGCTGACTGCTTCATCAAGATCTTGCCCACCCGAGTCGAGCCCGTGAAGGAGATCTTCTTGACGACGTCAGACTCGCACAGCGCAAGACCTAGTTTCGGTGTGTTGTCTAGAGCGGTGACAATATTGAGAACTCCCTTCGGCAGACCAGCGCGCTCAGCAAGAACTCCAAGAACATTGCCCGAGAAAGGCGTCACACCGTCCGTCTTGAGCACAACAGTACACCCAGCCGCAAGCGCAGCAGCGACCTTTCTCGCAGCCATCGCCAAAGGGAAATTCCACGGCGTGATCAAACCACAAACACCGACGGGCTGCTTGATTACCTGAATTCTCGAATTGGGTTGCGAATGCGGGACAACATCACCATGCAGCCTCGGCGCCTCTTCCGCGAACCACTCAAAGAACCCCGCCGAGAACATCACCTCCCCTTCAGCATCCGCCTTCGCCTTTCCATTCTCTGCAGTGATGATCTTTGCGATGTCGGCTTTATTCTCTGTGAGTAGCTCTGCAATTTTGCGAATTATCTTTGCGCGCTGGCGGCCTGATTGAGCGCGCCACAAGGCAAAGGCTTCTGAAGCTGCGGAGATGGCGCTGTTGACGTCGTCGACAGTACATTCTGGCGCTGAGCCGACGATAGTGTTTGTCGCAGGGTTGTAGACTGGGAAGGTTTGAGAGGAGGCAAAGGTAGGCCATTCGCCGTTGATGAAGGGCCGGCTTTCGACGAGAAGCGAAGGATCTTTGAGAGTTGAGGCGAGGGACGACATCGTGGGCGGTGATTGATGCAGGTGAGCGGCGATTGAAGTTGGCGCCAGTATGGTAATCTCCAATACAGAGCGATGCAATGATCTGTTGTGTCCGGCTGAGGTCGAGTTGTAAAGGTGCTAGGTAGATCAGAAGTTGGAGATTGTTGTTTTATGCAAAATTCATGATGCGGGGAAGACCCAGAATCACAGATGATAAGCTGAACCAAAAGGGAAGGAGAGCAAGTCTCGCCAATCCCGTCAAATGGAATCTTTTGCCGCCGCTATCCTTCGTGATGCGCCGCCGAAGAATGGAATTGCCGCCTTCAGGAATCTCGGCTTTAGAAGCCGATGCTGAGTTCAGCGCAGACATCAAACCGAGATGGAGAGCCACAAAAGGTGTGTATCTTTATTGCTCTTATCTTTTGTCATGAAAAGTTTAGTAACCTTCTTCGTGGTTTATTGGGATAATTTTCAAGATGTTAGGGTGAACTTATGATCATTGTAACAAGTTTAGACTACCATTCTTAAAGATGACATCTTCAGCTATAAGCTCCCCCATCAGCTCTCAGTCATCCTATCCGAAATCGACAGCAACTGAAACCTGTAACTCGGATCCTCCCTTATCTCCTTCATGAGATCCATCTCATCACGGACCCATTGCCTGACGGCATCGTGTTCTACGTTTGGAGTCTGAGGCATGGGCGCCAAAATATCAGCCAGCATACATCCAACCAACATGGTTTCAGCCTGAAAGAAAAGCAAATCAGGACCGCCAATCTCAGAGAGCAGCAAAATAAGAAGAGCGACAAGAGTCGTGTGGTTTTCACCAGCGCTGGAGCGATACCTCGTTACTCTCATAGACCAGAGATACGTAAAGTGGTCGCGATAAAGTTGAGCGGATTCACCGGTGCCCGTCCCGTTCATATGGCTCGAATAAAGTAATGCTATGGCGGTCATAACTAGGTCGTCCTCACTCGCGAGGGGGATGACATATTCTCGCCACACCCGTATGTTGCAGACTTGTATCGTGGGAAGGATCTGATCCCAAACTAGAATATAGATGTCGTTAGGTGGCTAGAGTCAGGATCACGGGGGAAAGGAACTTACAGATCCGCACGAAGCATCGTTCGCATCGTGTACGGTGCTGCTAGCCTGAACCCGTGATATCTGGGGCATCATGTGGCACGGGGACCTGAGGAATAGGAATAGCACGAAAAGGTATATTTGTGTGGTTCTCAGGCTCCATGTTGGAAATGGGATATTCGGGTCTGTAAATACTGGATGGAAGTTATGTGGTATACTGATGGAATGGATGATGAAAAGTCTATGTTGGAAGCCTAGGGTGAGAAGATCCCAACGCAAGGCTTTACTGTATGTTGAGCGATCCTGCCCTTTGAGGAAGGGAAGATCATTACCGAAGAAACACGGCACACTGATAGTGTTGAAAGGACTTCATTACGCGCACCAGGACCAACATAATCACTTATAAAAACATAATCAACTGTTGAGGCCGTAACTAGAATCAGCGAGAGCTTCCAAGTTAGAGCTTTGCCTGCCAAGATTGATCCTTCAGCGCCTCAATAACCTCCTTCGCCCCAGCATGTCCCGATGTCAAAGCACCCTCAAGATATCCCTTCCAATGGCTCGCATACTCTGTTCCCACAAAATGGATATTTCCTACCGGCTTACCATAAATATCCTTGTACTTTGCAAGATGACCGATCTTGGTGACAGGTGCAAGGGCACCGCGACTAAATTCTTCATCCTGCCAGATCTGTTCCACAAACTCAAGCGGGTTGTAAGCTTCGGATGAACCGAAAGCGTGCGCGAGTTGATCAAGGATAACTTTTCGTCGAGTCTCAGGAGATTGTTTACTCCATTCTTCACCGGGCTTTCCGTTCACAAAACAAGTGAACCCGTAGATTCCTTCATCGTCGAAAGAGGTATCGCGTACAACGCAGGCTGGTCCACGAAAGTCCATGAAAAAGCCATTGAAGCCACCATCGCGCCACCAAGGCTTGGTGTAGAACACAATAGCTTTGTTATAATGACCTAGTTTGGTGTTGTTGTAGACCTGCTGTGCTCGGTCAGGCAAAGGGGGTGAGAAGGTGAGTTCTTTGAGCAGAGCTGAAGGCATCGAGATGATGAGTTTCTTGGCCTTGATGACCTTTCCAGTCGTGGTTTTCACAATGACACCTGACTTGGTTTGCTCGATTGAGGAAACGGGGTTTGAGAGGTAAATGTTCTCATGGCCGATGAGGTCAGCGATTCCTTTGGCGATGGACTGTGTACCTGATTTGAGACGCATGTAGTTACCCCCCGTGCGATCATCTGCTCGAATAGCCAGAAGACCATGGTTTGTACGGCAGTACTCAATAAACCAGGCGGCTGATTCCTCGGTTGATTCAAGGCCGTGCATAACTCGAACCCAGAGTTTCACCATCTCAAGAGTTTTGGGACCGCCGCCGAGATTCCGAACATACTGATCCAAACTGATCTGATCATCTTCATTTCTAAATCCATTCGGCTTCAAAGATTCAGCTTGAATATGATCCCTCACCATCTCAAGATTCTTCTTCTCCTCAGGTGTAAACTACCCCAATCAGCACAACCTCAGACTTCTAGCATACACCATTTCTCTCATAACTTACATCAGGCGTAATTCCAAAAGGAAATTCGATCCTTTCCCCATCTGCGCTGACCATCACTGCTTTATGGCCAAGTCTTTGCCTTACGATCTGATCCTCAAGACCAAATTGTTGGATATATGACCATACAAGAGGCTGTAGTTCATCGTTCACCCAAGCTGCGCCGAGATCCGCTTTGCCATTTGTGTTTTTGAGAGGAACAGTCCAGGATTTACCACCGACACGGTCGCGTGCTTCGAGAATTGCGATGGATAGACCGGCCCTTCGGGCGGTGACTGCTGCTTGGAGACCGGAGAAGCCGGCGCCGATTATGAGGAGGTCCAACATAGGGATTGTTGATTATGTTTGGTACGTCAGCGAGGGACAGAATGCTCGTATGATAGCTTTGTAAGCTATAGAGTTCCAGTTCCGAAGGCTCACCAGCTACTATTACGTCCAAAAGAAGCGCTAAGCGATGAGTCTTTGATCCCTTTCAAATACAGACGCTTTCTGGTCATAGGCAATTCCCAAGTCACAATTTAGAGCAACACAACAACGAAGTGCCGCACCCAGACCCCACGATCCTATATTCGGATATCCGACCCGACACTGAAGACCATTCTACCCCGCCGTGGAGATCAAGTCGCTTAGCCTAACCCCCGTATGTTCTTCAGCGTTCCATGTCGGGTGTGACTACTTCATTTGGACGCGTTTAGCTTCTGGAAGAGTTCGTGCACGGTTGGGGTATCTGCGGGTCAGTGATAGTTGCGTTCGCGGAGAGGGCGCCGGACGACGTCGGATGACCATTTGGTCTGCATTCATTGATAGTCTCCTGAAAACCCACTATCAAAAGGTTATAAGCTATTTAAATGATATTTGCAGTTAGAAAGACCATTGTTAATAAAGACGAGCTTGAGCTGACAAACTTCAGCTGAAGATATCGTCCTGGAATGATTGAAGAATGCACTACGGAACAAGAGCCGTCGACCTCCAAATTATCACGGCTTTGGTATCATTATCACGACCCCGGGCTTGGATTGTATCAGCCAATAATAGTTGGTGCAAAGTATCATACCGGCGCTATAATATTTTCTTCTGCTACCGTTATCATGCATGCTACAAATCCGTCTCAAACAATTGGCTCAAACCTCGATATCTCAGACCTAACGTTATCAACACCAAACCCACTAGCACCGCCAAACATTTCCAAAAGAGTAATTATCTCACGCCCTCGCCAATCGGGAGGGCCTACTTCCCGATCCCTGTAATCTCCCCTCGATATCTCACACACAAACATGATAAGTGAGGAGTGAAGAAAACCCGTCATGTATGACGCCGACCTCGCTTTTGCTGATCTAATGTGCGATATGAAGAATTATTTCCTCATTGGGAGCTTTGATCCCGTGGCCAGACGCCTTTGTTTCAATGACCAATGGGATATATTGCATATTGTGGGGATCGATAGTGTGTTGTTCATTGACGTTGCGAGGGGGAAAGGTTGGGCTTATCTAGCCACGGCATTCCAGTGAGCGAAGCCGGTCACGTTTGGGATTGGAGATACTTGGTTGTCTAACTGCTGCATCTACGGTTGGCCAAGAAAACAGGCTATCTCTTGATAGAGCATCAAAGGGTTAATTCAGATCAAGTATAGGTGTAGTTAATGCTTCATTAATCCTTCTAGAATGTCTCAAATGGTAATATTAGCCCAATATCTCATCATGCATCATACCAAGTGCGGTAGCCCATCGAGTGTCCGCCCCCATATTCCCCCGGTAACGGCCACGTCTTAACCCAATCACTTGATCGGCATTTGTGCGGGGGTGCTAGGGTCAGTGGCACTCACACCTAAACTGCAGGGGAACCCAAGACACACTCACTCACTGCAGCCAAAGAAAAAAAACTGCTTCCTTTTGGAGCTTCTGTCGCTAAAAGATTCTTCGACGTATCGTAAGATCATGGCATCAGGCGCGCAGAAGGAGCCTCGCAAGACAAGAAGAACAGCTAATGCGTATGTTATATGTCCACCGCTTTAAGCTTTATCTATATGCCCCCCCGCTTCGTTGGGTGGCTGAGATTGTTCTGGGCTGACGGCGTCATAGCTGTGTCGCGTGTAGACAGAGTAAGATCAAGTGCTCTGGCGATGATCCGTGTCAGAACTGCCAGCGACGTTCTGTGCAGTGTCGCTTTACAGAGGGAGGGGCAAAGGTGATGGTATCAGAAAAGTTCGTCATCGGGTGTCCTTATCTCAACCCTCACTGACGAACCCAAGATATCTCCAAGATCTTCAAAAACGAGTAGAGCAGCAACAACGCTCGCCGTCAAGTAACATCTTCGACAATGCAGGTCAACTAGATACAGCATTCACATACCGCTCACCTCCCACGGCCTCAGCACCACCTCCATACCGCTCATCAATGGACGCAGCATCCGTCCACTCTCAAAACTCTCACCCCTCATACTGCTCGCCACCAATATCATCATCTCAAGTTGGAGGAGATAACTACTCTCCCGGATTGAAGCGCACTAACGATGCTGCTTTTGGAAACGATGTCAATGGTGAGTGCGGGGTTGATACCAGTCTTGCTTCTCCTGCGCTCACGGTAGGCTCCCAACAACAACAATCTGACCCGTCCGTTAAAGATCCAGCTACTTCGTCCTACTCGCAACAAACCGGCGAGTCGCCGTTGACTATCTGGCCGAGTGCGTTTACAATACCGTCTAAGATCATCAAGAACACTCGCAAGAACAGGCGCACGTGGAGTAAGTGCAAGAATGGGTTTACGTGAGACATTCTGACATGTAACAGTATGGCTTGCGCCGTGGTCAACGTGGTCTTTCACTCTACGGCTCATGCTCATGCTCGGCGATAAACTCCAACCAGGTGGTCTCAATATACCACCGCAACTAATCGAAGAAGACGTCTACAAGCTCTCATGGACACAATTAGACAAAGCCGATGTCTCCGGTCTCCCCTCCCTCGACTACGCAATCTACCTCTTTCACACCTTCAAATTTCACCTAGGCCAAACCTACCGTCTTTTCGATGAGGTAGAATTCGTGAATCAGATCCGTGATTTCTATTCTGACGCGCAGAACAAGGCAGAGGAGAATCGCCTCTGGTATGTCAAGTTTCTCATGATTCTAGCCTTTGGAACAGCATTCCTCTCCTCCCAGCCTCTCCCATCCAAGGAACCCCCCGGTGCAAAGTTCTTTGTGCGTGCGATGGGTCTAATGCCGGATCATACGGCGCTTTGGAAGGATAGCTTATTTGCGATAGAGGTTTTGGCCATGGTTGGCTTGTATTTGTATTCGATTGACGAGAGGGAGTCTGCTCACGTATATGTAGGTACCTTGGAAATTTACGTGGTTCATGACTGACGGATATACAGCTTGGTCAGGCTATTCGAATTGCTCAGTTGGAGGGTCTGCATACGCAGTTACCTGACAATGAGCTGGGTAGTGAGACAGTGACCTCTTGTCGTGATTTATGGTGGACATTGTACATCATGGATCGGCACTTTTCATCATCGCTGGGACTTCCTATGTCTGTTCAAGATAGTGACATTTCTACACCAGTCAACCCACCAAATGTTGGGTCACAAGATGATAGCGCTCGCAGTCTTCAAGTGAATCTGTCTCATCTTCTGTCCGTGATATTAACCAGTAAGTTTCAATCTTAGGGGATCTCGAGAATCCAATCAATCACTGACCCTTCCAGCACTTTACAAGCCAGAGAAAACACCACTTGACCAATTCCTTGAGCAAACCAAGTCAATTCTCCACACGCTCGCCCACCACGCTCAAGAGATTGAAAGGATCATATCTCTCAAATTCAAAAACTCAGTGGATACCATGCCTCGAGGCACAAAGTACATAACCCTTCTTTACCACCAGGTGAGTCTTCCAATCCTCCCTTAAGTACACTTTTAACATCTCCAGTGCGTTATTGTCGCCACAAGACCTCTGTTACTATCAGTCCTCAAAGAACGTCTTGACATTCTTGGCCAACCGGGCGATGAAAACTCTGAAGCATTCCTCGGCCAAACAGCAGCAGTCATCTCAACTGGTATCAAGTCCGCTGTCAAAACGCTGCAAATCCTCACCAGCGAATACAGCCTCCTGGGTATGTATCCCTGATTCCTCGCCTACTGTCTCTAACATTCCACAGAGGTCTTTCTCCCCTACGATCTCGAGTTCACCTTCGGCGCCGCTCTCCATCTAAACATGGCAACAGCCCTCTTCCCCGGCGTAGCAGACGACCAAGGCTGCCGTCAACTAATCCATCAACTCCTCGACAACATGATCGCCCGCGGCAACCGCCTTGCATCCGTTCGAAAGCAAGAGCTAGTCTATCTCGAAGCCCAATGCCAAGAACTCGTAGCTCAAGTTCAACAACAGGGTCTTCAAACATTATCCCTCGCAGTAACAGACGAAGATCTAGCGAGAAAGGCGGATGAGGAGCAGCAACGACTTCTTGCCCAGGAGACGCTGGGGATGGAGGCTCCGATGAATTGTTTGCAGAATCCTATGACGAGTGATATGGAGTTTCTTGATAATATTGGGATTTCGTCAGAGGAGTTTTTGTCGATTGTGCATCAGATAGGGGATCCGGATATCATGCCTGAGAACATGTTGACTTTGGAGTAAGGGCAAAATTAGATAGGGTTTCTCGACAGGTTCTTTTAGATGATTATATATCTAGTATTAATTTCACTCTAAAGCATTTATTTAGAGTTCAAAAACAGATATTGTGCACTATTCGGCATGTAAACTAATGCGGTGTCTGAGCCGTAACAAGTATAACTGTTGATTTGAGGTCCCAGCCATTTCCACCATGCTTGATCTGGAGATGCTCGACCAACATCTTATTGAAGCCATCTTCATACTGATCCTTCTGCTCCACAGTCCAATACATGTTGATTATCCACTTAACCATCATTCCAAATGAGGCTAAGAAGCCCTCGGCATTGGCAACGGGATGGATGAGATCAACAGTTTCGACCTTGGTGTCAACGAAGCCGTGACGAACCATCTCCGTTTTAATGCCTTCAGGTTCTACCCATTCTGGCTTACCGTGAAGTGCGACCGGCATCGGGTCTGGAAACGACGTCTGGAAGGGGAGAGATTCGAGTGCTGATCGGAGGTCCGGTACCCATCCACCATCATGACCGTTACTGGCATGCGGCACAACGAATGCTACAAGGCCACCAGGTCGAAGAATGCGGAGTGTATCTTGTTTTACAATGGTCAGATGACTGAGAGGCTATGGAGTTTAAGATGAGGGCTTACCGCGGAGGACTGCTGCCGGGTCAGGGATGATATGCATGACGAAATTCATGGTTATATGACTGAATGAGTGGTTGGGAAGACCTGAGTCCTAGTTTTATTAGATTGAAACAACAGTAGCACGTCGTCGAGAAACTTACTTGAGCGTTCAGGACTGCAGCGTCGACGTTGATCCATTGGTCTCTCCGCGCGCGCTACAGGAGAATATCAACAAACCGAGAATTAACGTCGGCACAGAAGATCCTACTATGTGACAGGACTGACGGCTGGGTCACTTCTTGAAGACAGGATGCGATCAGACCTGTACCGCACCCATGGTCAAGAAGACTGAAGCTCGTAGTGGTGGAACGTTGTGGCCCTGCTTGTGTGATGAGCATCCATGCTGGTTTTCTCATCATCTCAACCGCCTGGTTGATCATGTGCTCCACATCTCGATCTTCCAGAGACTGGGACTCTTCTTCATAGCGATTCTGAAGCTCGTCCTGAGCTTTTACATGGGCCATGCTGTCTTGCTCTCTGAAGCTAGTGATGGGATCAATTTGGGGAGAGTTCATGAGGAACAATTCCCGCAGATTCTCTCAAGCTGGGAGGGGAGGGTGGTTTCACAGTTAACATATAGCTCCTCGGACTATTTTCCCTCTTCAGTCGGACACTTTTCGGAAACAAATGCTTACTTAATCGGTGGTTGAGCAAGTTCTTGTGGTCTAGGTAAGCTAGCCATTTCTTCTCCCTCATGCCAAGGGGCCATCTCTGTACCAGACGAGAAACGAGGCCGGAAAGAACTATCCACTTAGAGTCCATAGTTTACTTCATCAAGAGTAAATGGAATATTGAATAATGTTGCAGTTGAACAAAGCGCCATCCTGCATACCTTTTGTCTTCGTATGTAATGTGCTCAAAGGTGCTTATACAAGCGCGCACAGCGTGGCAAACAGTTGTGGTGATTTCTGGTTTTCTTTTTTAACAACACTCCTGCCTAGTGCTTCAGTTCTAGTTAAATTGAGTTGCTCTAAATCTGCAAGGAGAGGGTTAGGTACTAGAAAAGCCTTTAATTAACCCTACAGATAATGCATGTTGAGAACCTCCCGGCAGTCTAACAGGGGTTTCATCTACGCTCCTCGTAATTTTTGGGCCAATATTCTAGGCTATGATCACATTAGATTTGTACGATCTCTCTGTTTGGCCTAAAATTTTGGGAGCACATCAGATATATCCAAAACTACATAAACCGGATGCCTGCCAGGTTTAAACTACTATGATATCTAGTCAAGTGCACTTCCCATGGTTCACTCGCTTATACAGGACAAAATCAATAGCCAAGTTCCAGCGCATAACAAGGGAATAATCTTAACGAATATTTACATCCTCCTCTCTGGACAGTCCTATACCCTCTTGTATCAGCATATCTATCTCTTCACCAATAGGCACCTCCTCAAAACACTCTGATGGAAAGCTTGACTCTGGACGGGCAGAGCTATCGATAGGACCATACATGGCGTCAAAGACGTGTGCAAGAGCTTCAAAGCCTTCATGGTACTCTCTATTCCCAAGTTTACCAATGAAGTCTAGGCATGGCTCCTGGTGGAGGACTCGATAACAACGGGTCCGGGAGCCTTCTCCTCGACGGCGTACAACATGTCGAACGCGTACATGATGCATGGTGAAGGAAGCGGCAGCTTCGCGGGTTCTAGAAGTCAACTCAGCTGGAATGTTCTCCAAGTCGGCAATGACCAGTAGTCGGTTTATGAGAAAATGTAGATTGACCTCCACCGCGACCCATACTTGCCGTCCACGAAGTTTAAAACACAGCAAGCTACCATACTCTGCAAAGAAGAAGATGGCCCTTCTGTGCAAGTCCGGGCAGGTTTGTACCATACTTTCTACTACGCGAAGAACCGACGTTATATGGTCGTAGCGGTCACGCAAACGCGTCGCCTGGAATACACCACCAAGAAGCGACTCGAAGGCCGTGGTGTGTTGGGTGGTACGCATTTCGTGTCCCGGAACCTCAAGGGGCAAAATGGACCTCTTGGAAACGTGCGCCTCTCCACCAAGCTCAATCAAGCCTCGGATTATCCTAACTGCCGTTTTAGACATTCTAAAGTGTTGACTTGCAAGTGCCAGCTCGTGAAGGCTGTTGGTAGCAAGCTTTGGTGAGGGAGTTGGCATAAAGGAAGAAATGATAAAATTGTCGAAGTTTTCAAGAATATATGCTGCGACGCATGGAAAGGTTGGATTAAGCTCCCAAAGCCGATATGCAACAGCGAGAGCACCATCTTCATGAAGGTCCTTCATAGCTCTAAGTATCGTCAATATGGCTTCCGCATCCGCTCCCGTGTCATTTAATCGATTGCAGCCACCTAAAGCCCAGGCGCAATCAGACACAACCTTGAACTGGCGATAGTACGTGCTGGCCAGATTGAGCCGGCATTTGAGCAGTTTCAGGCCTTCGTCTATCAATGTTGTCTCATTTGACCCGTGACTCAAGATGGATTGGCCATATTCTGTATCAACCAGGAAGTCGTGAGCTGTGCGGTGGATGAACTGGACTGGTCGTGTGAGTGGACGGATCGCTTCCGGGAGTGCCACTCCATTGTCGTTAAAACCACACTGTCGACCAACTTGTAGCATGCCAGCGCATCGAGTTCGGATGTCGCATTCTGTCGCCTTACACAGAGCATTCAACTCATTCAAAGTCTTCTCATTAGCTGTGGGTGGGAAGATGAAACAGTCTTCAACCTTTGTTGCAAGTGATAGTTGGACCAGGTTGGGCTCTGTCATGTAGCGGCGGACCCCATCCTTTGTCGTCTGCAGTGTGTCCCACCCGTCAGCGATGACGAAGCGGAAGTATCTTGCAGCAGTCTCGCGGTATACACGATTGTTTCCATTTAGTCTCTCCCACATTGTCTGATAAAGAGACTCAAGCTCCTCTGGGAGCTCCTCTAGCCTTTTAGAAATGAATTCTTGATCATCGCCTATCAATATTCCATCAGTGACGCTTTTCGTGGCAAGAGCAAGCCATAAGAAGACCCCTTGCGCTTTACCCAGAAGGGTGTCTGTGAACTTTTCGACAGGTAAGCCGGCGAACTGATCTTGTGGTAATTTTTCGAATTCCTGGCGCAGATAAACGACCATCTCAGGCTTAGTGAGGTCGTCTAGTCGTAAGCTCTGCGCTCCAATCTTTTCAAGCCTTTTGACTAATTCTGTATCAGGTCGGCTTGATACACAGACTTTTACTCCCTGACATGTCGAAAGTTTTTGAACGACGTTAATGAGTGCTCGATATCCGTCCTTATCCGATACCTCGTCGAGGCCATCGACAAAAATGCAAGGCGGATGAGCTGAAACATCTAAAAGATACAAGAGGACCTTCTCCGCTTCTTGAGACGACCACTCCTTGTAAAAATCTTTCGATCCGGAGAATTTGAATGTCATTAATACTTTATCCATGGCATCGTCATCTTCTGATAGAAGGTCATAGAGCAAGGAACACAACAGGCCCCTGATACTGTTCTGAGGTTCATTGCCGATCTTCCAGAAAAAATGTGATAGAATTTTAGTGTTTGTGTTTGGGTGCCGAAAGCCAAGTAAACGCTTCGTGTTGTCGTTCTCAATAACGAACTTGATCAATGTGCTTTTCCCAGATCCTGGCTTTCCTCGAATCCAGAACAGCTGGTCGTCCGACTGCAGCCAAGTACTGAAGCACGCCCATAGGTGATCAGTCTCATCAACCTCCTCTTTAAGTTTTGCCTTTTCTGCTGTAGTTTTGGAGGAATCAAATGCTTGTTCGTACTCGTTCCAGGCTTTGTGCCCGGGGTCTTTGCGGCAAACACGTTCATATGAAGCGAAGACCCTCTCAAAACAAGCATCGGATGACGGCAGTATAGTGTTGTATCTCTCTCTAATTTCTTCGGGTTTGAGGCTTTTTAAGAGTCGTTGACGCTGGTTGTCTGAAATGTTCTTCATCTCCACAGCCTTGAGCTCGGAGGTGACGTGGGTGTTAATGGCATCCCGTGTGGCTCGGGCTTCGATGGAAACCAGTTGCTCTACCCTTTTATAGCCTTCAGCAATCTTGAGAATGAGGTTCTGGACATCACACTCTAGAGTTCGGAATCCTTGGGACTGTTCTTGTGCTATCGCAGTGTCCTGGTCGCTATTCACATCAAGTTGTTAGCAGGCGTGGAATGGATGAATAGTCTAGGAATGAAAGGAAGCTCAGGACCTCGATCCTGAACGATGAACAGACTCGGGTGATTTAGCACATGTTCAGGATACTTTTGACACCCTGTATCAATGTCTGATGTTTTCTTGCTTCCCCAGGACGGTTAATAGAACCTGATACATACCATATCTTCAATAAAAGCTCCGTTTCCATCAATTCTTTGCACTTCCTTAAGGATCCATCTAACTGATTGAGCTTGGCTTTATGGCTCTCTGTGCGAAGAGCAGAATAGACAGCCTGGAATATTTTGCCTTTTCCATTTTTGTATCGTTTGGTAAGAGTTTGAGCCTCTTTTTTCAGCTTTGACGCCGTTTCGATGCACTCCTGCGAGACGTTGGATAGTTTGTCGCCAACCTGGGTTCCCTGGGGCACTTGGGCGCCGCGAGACTGAACGCGACGGGCCGCCTCCATCATCTTGTTAGAGTACTCCTCAAGCTCGTTCTCGGTCGTAGGTATTCCATCGTAAATTTTGAAGCTGAGGGACACGAGGCTCCCGGCAAAAGCGATCAACTGAACAACGGCGCTGGCAGCCCCCAGGGCTTCCAAGCCGGTCGCCATTACGACTATTTCAGGGATGAAAACTTAGGATAGAGTGAGTAGACCTTAAGCTGCTTCAGGGTCACCTGTTTCCTCCTCCCTGAAGCGAAGGGAAAGGTCTCGTGTTGAAAGAAAGTCGAAGTTGGGGTAATTGGGCAGGAATTGGGCGACTCCCATTTTTCAGAGTGCGGATTGGCAGAATGTGAATGTCACTGCCTCAAAATCTGACTGCATTTACGATGCTGTTCTATATGCATTGTTGCCCAATCAAGTGTGTCATTTCAAGCCCAGTTCCCCTTACGGGATGCCTTGGCTATGGTTGTTTGACATGGGTTTATTCAGGTGGAAACTTGACTGGAGCCTCTGGCCAAAATAAAAGTAATTTTGTTCCTTTGTGATCATGATTATGATTTTATCATGCACCGAAAAGAGAACCTTAGTTCATCTTCCGACTTTAAATGTTATATACGGCTTGCTCGAGGGTCGGGCACTTGCAACATAATCTGATCAGAAGCCAACATTCAGGCTGTGCAGTGCAAGCATGTAATTGGATATTGGGGATACTCTGTGACACTAGCTTCTCTCCTCGTCCCCAGAAAGTTGCATGACTTGGGAAGCATCCTTGACAGATCTAAACAGGCCTTTAATTATTTTGGCATAAAGTTATAAGTGCATAATTGTGGGTAGAAATGATGTACTAAAATCCCAGTGCTGTGAGACGGCTCTGTTGAGGGCAGAGGAAATTGGCCAATTATATTTAAGCATTTACGCAGCGCCACACAAGACAGCCACCGGTTCTGCCACAGCATCAAAACTCGAAACACCAAGAGGAGAACATCGCGATATCGACAAAAAGAGATAACAGACTCGAGGAGAGCAAAAGAAGAGGTTGTACTGCGTAATCAGGGAATCGAACCCTGGGCTCCCCGACGTTACTCGAATGGCAACGGAGAATTTTACCACTAAACCAATTACGCTTATCTTGATGTCTCTGTGCTCTCGTAATTGGGCTCATGCAGCGAGACCCGCTGCAGATTATCGAACAGCGAGCGAGATTTCCTCTCGATTCACTGATAATGGTGTTATTTTTCGTGTAAGGTGATATAGAAACAAAGCCCCGTGTGGCCAATGGTTGGTACAACTTATTGATGGTCTCACCTGAGATTCAGATTGTGTTGCGTGGTAGGTTTGATGAACATCAGGTCCAGTCTTCCAATTGCTGGGTGGCCGGGTGCATACCGCAACCGGTCAATTCTTTCGCGTAGGTAACGCTATGCCAATATGAGAGATCTTTCCTCCAGAGGACGACAGATCAACGACCAGTTCGCTTAGAATCTAGGGTGAACTGACGCTGGAAGTTTGTCAATTCATCTTTTGCTTGTATAGGGTAGGCATCCACGCGTCTGATCGATCCCATCCGCGTAGCTCATTCAATTGCATCATAACCTCGCGTTCCCCAAGAGGCATATAAGCACGTGCAACCAAGATCTCGATCAAATTTTCAACAGGACGATTTGAACGATCACAAACTTGGATAAGCTTCTTTGCATTGAGTTCCACCGGAGTAAGCCGCCCGGTGCATCATAAACGGTCTCGTCTCATTGGCTGATGAGTGTCAGCCGCCCCATAATTACATCAGCGATTTTACCTTGCGACAGGCTCACGAGGGCAGGAACAACAATCACCTGCATTTTTTCTTCCTGCACCTGCCCAGAAACGACCGATCGGCCGATATTCGGGCCATCAAACAGCTGCAAGCAATCCGATTTTGATGTCTCACCTCAATTGAAGATTGGTCGATCATCTTGGATACCTCATCATTGGCATCGGCTTGACTGACTTTTAAGCAAATGCCAAGCTAGAGCCTTGTTCTCACCGTGGCGCGTGTCAGCCCCGCCAAATAAATCTCTCCAGATTCGCTACGCACATCCTACGTCACCACTCTTTCGCTCGCTCCCCCAAAGCTTGAGAGGTGATCATCCTCTACAAGCTTTCCCAAGGTCTGAAGAGGCCTTTGGACTGCAACGAATTGTTCATCATGGCGCCCTCACGAAGTACCTCCTCGAATGCTGCCGCCAGAGCCATGGCTGTCAATCGAACAGCCTCGTCTGGTTCATTCCATGCTGGCGCGCCGATCCCTACTCTGAGCTCCCTGCGACGACAGTCTCATCGATACCAGACCTTTCCTACCACTCCTCCCAAGACACCTCTCGAACAGCCGTACGCTCCGTCGAATGGAAGCGATTCCGAAGATGAAGACGATCACGAAGAGACGCCCTTGCCTGTGCGACAGCTGCTGTTGCTGGCGTTTCTCTCCCTTGCGGAGCAGACCGCGCTGAACTCGATATCGCCATATTTACCTGAGATGGTACTCAATATGCCCGGTATTCCTGATGACGAGGCCGGTCTATATGTCGGAATCCTCGCGAGTTCTTTCGCGTTGGCGCAACTGTCGACCAACTTCCTCTGGGGATACGCCTCGGATGTCATTGGACGCAAGCCAGTTCTGATCATGGGTACGACCGCTTTGATGGGGTGTTTCTGCGTCTTTGGCTTCTGCAAAGAATACTGGCAGATTGTAGTCGTCCATGTCGCAATGGGCCTTCTCAATGGAAATGCCGCATGCGTTCCAACAGTCCTGGGAGAGGTTACAGATCGCTCTAACCAAAGCCGCGCATTCACATACCTGCCCGTCATCTACTCCCTCGGTAGCATCACAGGACCTGCACTGGGTGGCATTCTTGTCGGCAGGATGGGCAAAGAGTACCCTTATCTTGCCCCTAACATTCTGTCCGCCGGTCTCCTCGCTCTCAGTGTCGTGGTGGTCAGCATCTGGTTCGAAGAGACACTGGATAAGAGTGAAGTCAACTTTGAGAAGCCTGCTTGGGTCGACAAGATTATTTCCTGGTTCTCTTCACCCACCCCCCCGCCTCGACGAGCATCTTGGAGCGCGCGCTGGCCTCGATCTCAATCCCACCAGAATCAGCCTCTTCTCTCCTCCGGGCGAGCGCTCGAATCCGATGACGATGACGAAGAGACCGAGAACGACGACGACGAAAGCGATAACAAGGCGGATCCGGCAATGTCCGCATGGAAAGACCTTAGCCGAACCACGATCCTCATTCTGTTCACGTATCTCGTCTTCCAACTCTCCAACATCTCCTTCAACAGTCTCTACCCCATCTTTGCCGCTACACCACCACCTGCTGGCCGTGACTTGTTGCCCAGTAAGATTGGCATCAGTCTGAGCATTGCAGGTTTGGCAAGCTGCATCTTCCAGGCTTTTCTCTTCCAAGCCCTCAAGGTCAGATTGGGCAATCTAGGTACCTACCAAATCTCGCTTCTGGGACTGGGCATTAGCATGCTGCTTATGCCGTGGGTTGGCTACGCCGATAGCAAGCCATTGTTTGGTCTGGGAAGTGGCAAGATGTGGCTGTACATTGAGCTTGGTGTGGTGTTGATCTTGAAGAACCTGTGCGCCGTGGGCGGTCTGTCCAGTGTCATGCTTTTGGTGAGTCCTCTAACGCTGCGCGCCATCATCAGAGCTTTACTAACCCCAATAGATCACCAATTCTGCTCCATCGCACTCCAGCCTTGGCAGCCTCAATGGTATGGCGCAAACCCTTTCCGCTCTTGGCCGCAGCTTCGGGCCCTTCGTGTCGGGTGGCCTCTTCAGTCTGTCCATCAATATCCAACCCAAGGGTGAGGCATTGGCTTGGAGCATCTTCGGCGGTCTGGCCATTTTGGGCTGGGTCTCATCTCTCTTCATCCGCCGTGACGGCCTTGAGAGCGACGATTGGCAGGGCTCGGATGAGAACCTCGCCGAGCAGGAAGCCGACGCCGCGTGAGCTCACTGTGGCAAACACCAACAAAAAATACAATAGACCGGGTTGGCATTTAGCATTGGATGGGTGTGGTGCATATGGGACATGGTCGCTTTGACGTATTGTCCGGGCGTATTGGAGAACAGACTGGGCTGCTTTTGAGAGTTGAGCGACGAAGTAACGATAAAGACTTTACCACCTTGGGATTTACCATTGTACAATTGATAGACAGAGTTGGATATAGCTGCTTCCAATTGGGCTGGCTGAGTGAGTCCGCGATACTTTTTATATTCTGATACTTGCTGTACTCGTCTCGTCACAATTGAGTTCTGGTACATGCCAAGGCCTATTTCGCTCAGCCCAGCGCAATCTATTTGACTATCTACTACATTTTCTTTCTCATCCAAGAACAGTCTACTTGATCTATTTCTAATATGCATGAAATCTAAATCTCTTCTATTTTCCCTCTTCCTTCGCCCTCCTCTCTTCCCTCTCACTAAACCGATCCCCAAAAAGGTCAAAATGCGGTCTCATAACAATGGTATATTTCACAAGCTCCTCCATACAATCGACAAGGCGATCACGATTCCCACTCGGCAGCATACGACTTCCTTCTTCCTCAGAAGTAAACTGCGTATAAGCCTTTGGCACAGAACTCTGGTTAGGTATTGTGAACATCCTCATCCAACGCCCGAGGATACGGAGAGAGTTGACAGCGTTGAAGGACTGCGAGCCGCCGCTGACTTGGGCGATGGCGAGGATTCGGCCTTGGGTTGGGCGGACAGATCCGGTTGAGAGGGGAATCCAGTCAATCTGTTGTTTGAAGATGCCGGTCTTGACGCCGGGTTAGCTTTACGGCGCGAGGTTAGAGGATTGGAGGGCTTACCAAGTTTCCATGTTGTTCCGGACTTATCCAAACATGGCCGTCGCTCCATTTGCTCAGCTCACGGAGGTCTTGAACCTTTGGGTGGTTATGTTGAATATCGTCTTCTTGAGGGAGGCCGGCTGGGTCGTAGACTCGAACATCGCAGCCGAGGCGGTGGAGGATTCGTGAAGCTTCGAAGGCGAGGAGGCGGGAATATGATCTGAGGTGACGTGGTATTAGTACCCAGCATTAAAGCCTGCGGATGAACACCTACCGACTCCGTAGACTACCGTAGAGGACTAGGATTCGCAGACGATCTAGGCCTTTATCGAGAATCTCGGACTGAACCATTTGGATAGCTGTGCTCAGCTCCAATTCTGCAATCCAATCATCGTTTATGTGCTTTTGTTCAAGAATAAACGGGCGGTATTTCTCTCGGACTTCAGAAGGGTCATCAGAAGGGTCAATGGCGAGGGATCGATAAGCAAAGGCTGGGTCTGGGGTAAGCTCGACTGCTGTCCTCCCAGCGTGGGAATTGTTGAGATCCCCGTGTCCGTTCATCTTGAGCGAATAAGGTCGATAGAATAAACTTATGTGACTAGTAGAGAAGTGACGGCTTATGAGTATGCTCTCAGAAGATCTGGAGCTCTTAAAGTTGGCAGTACGAGTGGAAAGTCGAAGGAATTGACGAGACAGAGACATTCTGATAGCAAATCTCTAGGGTTACTTCGCAGACGTGAGACATTATTAACTAACGATTAGGCTTTTTGACAGGTTCGCTCTACGTCGGACTTTTTCAAGGGTCCAAGTGCAGAGCCAGGGCTTGATCAATCATCTCCCGGGCATGACAGGCCCCCGATTCACCATCTTGATGGCGACCAATCATTGCTCGGGTATGACAAGGTCCCAGCCACGTCCAAGGTAAACCACGATATCCAGCTTGGAAAGGCCCAAGAACCTCAATATTGAGAGATATTTAGACATCCAATTTAATCTTTGATTGAGGTTACCATTGCTCAATGTTAAGAAGGCATCTGGCAGCATGCTCTGAAGAATGTCCAAGGCAACGAACATTAAATAAACAACAGGTAATGTAGAATAGCGAATAGCTAGGCACCATCAAGTTCACCATTTTCCACTTCGTAATTTGGCTGAGTTGCTGTTTGTACAGTTGCAGATGGGGCTGAGACGAGCACATGAAAAATGAAATCCCAATCAGGCAGCGGCTGCCTAATTTCCAAAATACGAGGCTGTGCTGTGTAGTACAAGCATCAACCGACTTCATTTATATGACGCTCTAATCCGAGCTCTCCACGACTCAAATTCCCCAGACCATGTCGTTTCTGCATTGAAACAATCGTTATACATCATGACACGATGCGGTCGGTGTTGATGCGGAAAGGTCATACGCCGATTATATCCCTCACCTTCAACAGCTCTCGTCCAAGATATTCCTGGTGGAAGGCTCGTAGAGAGGTTTCACTGCTACATATGCCTTCTCAAAGTAAACCCTTCACCTCTTGCTCGAGATGTATATACCCCGCCTGGTGCTGTGTAGCAATCTACTGACTTGACTCGAGGCAGCCAAACATTCAAATGCGATAGACCCTTGAACCAAGACTCCTTCCGAATCTTTACACTTGATGCTGGAGAAGGGAGCGATGAGCTCCAAGGTACTCTTCAGACATACCCACTCGATGCAGCTCCCAAGTATGAGGCTCTCAGCTATGTGTGGGGACCTCCCAATCGAACCAAGACAATCAAGTGCAACGGCCAAGACTTCACTATCACTGATGGCCTTGAGGCGGCCCTGAGAAGGCTGAGACTCCCCGGAAAGTCGCGTCACATATGGATCGATCAAATATGCATAGACCAAGACTCTATAACAGAGCGGTCAGAGCAGGTCAGCATCATGAGGCATATCTACTCCAATGCGGAAATCGTCAATGCATGGCTTGGTCCTGCTGATCCAGAGGTAGCATCTTCTGCAGCTGGAATCATTACAACCCTGGCAAACTCGAAACCTCGCCTTTATGAAAAAGATGTTTTCCCCGAGGATCAAGAATTGCTCGACCTCGGCCTGCCAACCCGAGATTCACCGGACTGGGACGCCTTAAACTCAATGCTCGCAGTACCATACTTCTCCAGAGTCTGGATCATACAAGAAGTGGCAGTCGCTTCAGACTTCGCACTACTTTGGGGAGACATTACCATCTCGAAAAGCGAGTTCAAGAAGTTCAGATTGGCCGCTCTCTACTACAAACTCTCCGACGTAGACGTCGAAAATGGCTCACCAGGAGTGCTGTGGAACGCAGTCGCCCTCTTGTACATGGGACACTACAAAGTTGGGGACGACAGTCTCTTGCACCTAGTCTCGTCGACATCATCAACCAACGCAACAGACGCGCGGGACAAGATCTTTGCGTTGATTGGACTTGCTGGCGATAGGTCCTACGGCATGGTGCCAGACTACAGCAGGAGTGAGACAGAGGTCTTTTCGGAATTTGCTCGTTTGGTGATAGTGTCGGAAAAGAACTTGAATATTCTCGATCATTCATATGTGGAGAGTCCTGAAGACCCAGAACGCCGTCCTTTTTGGGCACCGAGATGGCAGTCTGACGATGGTTCGCATAAACACTATTTGATCAACTACCATTTCGCTGCCTCACGATATACGCCTATCTTACTGGTTCCATCAATGAGCGAAAAGGTGCTGAACCTCAGAGGCATCCAGGTCGATTCAATCGGAGACGTGCGTGATAGGGGAATCGACATACACCAAGATATTCCTGCTGTCGTTGATATGATCACACATCACACGGAGGTCTTTAGCAAAAGATACGGCTCAGATATCATCCGAACAGTCCTCCTGACAATGATGGCTGGCCATGAGAGCTCTGGTCCCATGATCAACCACGTCAGAACCCGTCCAACCGACGACGCATATATCAAGAATTTCATAGCCTTTGCCCTAAAATTCACGATTCAAGCTCACATATCCCAAGACGGTAGAGAAGTCAATCAGAGGAGATGCCTCGAGCTCGTGAGGCTCGCCGCAAAAGGTATTTCGCTGCCGGCCGAGCCATGCTGGACATCACACGAGGACTTTGAATTCTTGGAAAGAATGCTCACAACTCTTTATCCGAATGATCCGCCGGTTGTGGCGGCTGATTTGAACATGCTTAGCAGGATCGACTGTGATTTTGTCGTGGGGCCGCAGCGGTTCGAAGAGTTGATTCGGACTTCTCACCACAGCAAGATATTTGTTACGGAAACAGGCTATGTGGGTTTCGGACCTCGTTGTATGAGACCTGGGGATGTTGTTTGTGTTCTGTTTGGAGGTAGGACGCCATATGTCATACGGCCAACGGCAGCGCCAGATGAATACCTATTTCTTGGGCCAGCTTATGTACATGGGCTTATGGACGGTGAGGCTATTGATGCTTGGGAGAAAAGCTATCGGACTGGAGAGCAAGAGATTCAGGATAGGCTGTTCAAACTCTTGTAAAGAGCAACAATTCAACACACCACAGAATTAGTCCTTATTCCATAATCGAAATGCTAACAAGACAAGCTATGCAAGGGTATAACAACTCCCAAGACACTCCTCAAACCAATGCCCGTCTAATCTTCCTTCTTGTACACCGCAAACTCATCAAACAGCGCCACCTCCTCAAACTTCTGCGCAACAGCCTGGACATCCGCCTCGTCCCTATTCGTCATGGCCAAGTCAAAATCCACAATCAAACTCGTCGAGATCCCTTCACCATGATGCCCTCCCTGCCCCTTTACCTCCGCCATCAGCCTCTTGGCCTCTCTGTTCGTTATCAACCCGTTATTGATCGCCATTGTCAGAAAAGCCTGTGCTATTCCCCCAAATATGGGATATCCGACATACAAGTGCTGCCAGTAGCGTATGCACAGGAGAAAGTAAAACTTGGCTGTGGGGTCGTTTGTTTCTCTGCAGATTGTATTGGCGATGTGGATTAGGGATATGTTGATATAGGGCATGTAGCTGTTGGGCATTTGCTGTGTGCGGTAGAGCAGGGCGAGTCGTTTTAGTTGGTTCAGGGAGGCGGAGAAGATGGTCTTGGGGGTGCTGTCTTGGGAGGAGAAGGATTTGAGGGTGTAGGTTTTGTTGTCTCCGTGGGCGAAGGGACGAAATATATCCAGGACTGCGCAGTGGAACCACATACTAAGTACCAAGTCAGTTAAATACCTCAAGCAGAGTTTGTAGACTCACTGGAATAACATGACGTGCTCTTGGCTGTTTTGATCCCAAGCCATGTCTTTACCAAGAGAATCCGCCCAGGCCAAGATTTTCTGATACTTGGCTTCTGCGAAAGCGATGGGGACACGATCAACGACTGGTGTCCCGTCTGCTATGGAGTAGACTACGGCTACCTCCTGAATCACAGTGAAGAACTCGCACAGCTTGGTAAATGAGGAGCCCATGTACTCTGGCAGCGGATGTTCAGGCCATACGTCATCATCTCGTTCGTGACCAGGTATTGGTAGAGAAGGCGGTATCGCTATACTCTCATCGTGAAAGTACAGAACGTGAATCCTGTGTTGAAACTCTCAGAAAAAGTCGAATGAACCAATTTTGACGAGTCACTTACGTTAACCAGTTATAAGTGCCCCAGGCAACATGTGCGGTCATCCGAACTAAGTCACCAGGCAACTCCTGGAACGCTAGCGACGACGGACTATTCAGCGGGACACTGTATAAACCAAGTCTCCTTCCCATGTGGCGAGCAGCAGCAACGAGTTCTTGGGCTAGTTCCTCATGTCCATGGAAGCGACAGGCGAGGCTGAAGGTGTTGATAGCCGCTAGGGTGATGAGGTCGTCGAACGAGCCCTCAGCGCGAAAGAGCCTTTCCGTTTCTTGGAAGCAAAGACGACCAACGGCTACGGATTCCAAATCGAAAGCTGTAAATGCATGCTGCCATCTGAGTCAGTGTGTGTCGCAGGAGAAGAAGAAGAAGAAGCTGAAGCACTCACACAAGCAACGTATAATATCGCGCTGACGAGGAACGTAGAGCAGAACTGGGGTTTTCGCTCCACGAGACTCTCGACGAATAAATCAGCATCGACAAATCCCACGATCGTCTGGTCCGTTTCCAGAAACAGCGAGATCATCGCCGCGGCAGTTTCATTGCTGATCGGAACCTTTGTCCAGTACGAAATATCAACCTCCTCCAGCCGACTGTCGCAAAGTGAACGAACCCGATCTGACGAAAGGACAACAGGACTCGCCGGCGATATCTTGTGCACCAAAGTCCCCGTCTGCGTCGCAGGAAGCGCCGGTTTTTCCAAAGGCGAAATCCCAAGAGAGGTTATGTCAATCGGCACCAACGTCGGATACACAATGCCATGCAACGCTGTGAGTTCAAACTCAACCCTTGAATTCGTAGTCGGTAATATAGCCTGCGCCGTCCTGTGATTCGACAGTCGTATCCTGGTATTCACACTCCCCTGCAACGACGCAAAGGCCCCATTCAGATCCGCCGGGGATCTCAGCCTCTGCAGGAGCTTGAGCGCATCTGTCTCCGGTAGTGTCTTGAGCTGCTCTACTATATCCGCGTAGTGGTTAAAGCTGTGCTGCAGGGTATCAAGCTGTTTTTGAATCTTGATTGTAGAGTCAACTGTTTTGGGGGGTATGCGGTAGATACACGCCAAACTGCGCGTTTGACACTGATCACAGGTCGGTTCAATACCATTGCACTTTTTTTTTACCATTTCTATTAGTTAAACGGGTAGTATGAGTCGGTGCGAGACTCACGGCACGTTTCTTTTCGCGGCAGGGATTACAGGCTATCCTGACATGCTGACGCTTGCGTTTGGCCACGCGGAACTTGCGGTCGATCTCATCGGCGTCGTCTCTCGGGGCCGGCTGGATCTTCCTGTAGTTTCCTTGCATGGTTCAATCACACCGTGCTTGGTTGAGTTCCGAGTCATGGTGCTGATAGCGGGGGAGGTTTATCGTGGGCGGTTGATACGTGGTGGGGTGATGTGATTTGTGAAAACAGAGGGGAGGAGAATAAGCTTTCGGGCTTCGGTTATACTTTGATGCGTGAAATGCTTTAGGGTAAGTTCGTGATATGATTGAAGCTATCACGAAAACAGATGTCTGTGAGCTTCGGCAGTGTTGATACGGTGTTAGATTGGTTAGAGAAATTGTTAGAGTTTAACTGCCACGTAGAAAATCGCCACCAAAAAGACTTGACTCATGCGGTGCAAGTTTGACACTCAGCATGACTCTTGCGCGCCTTACTCAGCAGCCTCAGACTTTTTTCATCTCTCCAGTTTTGTAATAACGGTGAAGAAACGAAACGAACCGCATTGACCGGAAAGCACTCGGCGTTAATGCGAAAATTCGAGTCCCAGCTCAAATGATAGACAGCGCTAGAAGGCTGTAAAGAATTCTACTGTTCGATTCCACGACCAACCAAAAGAAACGGAGACGCCGAGGTTCAGCGCATCAAATCCATTCTCAGTTAGTTATCCGAGCATCCACTGCACCCCGCTCCCGTTTCCGTCTTATCCTCACTAGATAAGATACGTATTTGTCGAGAAGAAATAAGGATCTTACTGCATTGGCCAAGTCATACATAGTAAACCTCGGCATATAACGTAAACACGCCTTGTTTATTAATATGTTATTGACTCTCAGCTTGTAGATTGGGTGATGTGAACTTAACTACCGTGGCATCATCCATGAGGTCATTACCGCTTTGGGAAACATCACCGTTTATGTGGACCTCCCTCGCGCTGTGACGTTTTTTAGTTGTCGAAGAAATTCTCAATGCTTTTCTCCCTTACAAATCAAGCCTCCAACGAGCCTCGGTATAATGCCAGCGCCACTTTGACGTGGCTTCGGTACTTGATGCACCGTGTCTTATAAAAGTTGCAGTGACGTCGTTCATTTCTCATATTCCTATCATAACTTCATCTTCATCTTATATACCCTTTCCTCTCATCTCATACACTTCATCGCATCTCATACTCTTCTCACACAACACACAACACACAACACATACCGCCAAAATGACACAGAACAAGACTCTCGTTTACAAGAAGATCCCCACTGGTCTCCCCGTGGCCGGTGAGCATCTCGTCACTGAGGACCGCCCCGTCGATATCGACTCTGCTCCCCAAGGCGGTGTCATCGTCGAGCTTCAATATGCCTCCTTCGATCCCTACCTGCGCGGAAAGATGCGCGACACATCAACCAAGTCATACGCTCCCGCTTTCGAGATCAACGACCCCATCGTCAACGGCACTCTTGGCAAGATCATCAAGAGCGACACCTCTGACTTCTCCGAGGGCGATCTCGTCACAGCCTACCTCCCCATCGCCGAATATGTCCGCGTTGAGAAGGACACCCTTCCCAAGGTCAACATGAGAAAGGTCCAGAACCCTCACAACCTTGACCTTGGTCTCTTCCTCGGTCCTCTGGGTATGCCTGGTCTCACTGCCTGGTCTGGTCTTCACCAGATCGGTAAGCCCAAGAAGGGTGAGACCATCTTCATCAGCTCTGCGGCTGGTGCTGTTGGCCAGATCGTTGGTCAGATTGCCAAGCGTGAGGGTCTTACTGTTATTGGCTCTGTTGGCGATGATGCTAAGCTTGACTTCATCACCAAGGAGCTTGGTTTCGATGCTGGCTTCAACTACAAGAAGGAGAGCCCCAAGGACGCTCTTCCTCGTCTCGCCCCCAACGGTATCGACATTTACTTCGAGAACGTCGGTGGCGATCACCTCGAGGCTGCTCTCAACAACATCAACGTCGGTGGCCGTATCCCTGTCTGCGGTCTGGTAAGTTAACTCTCAGTCCATTCTCAAATATCACAACTGACAAGTTGCAGATCTCCGAGTACAACACCCCCGCCGACCAGCGCCAAGGTGTCAAGGGTCTCCTGAACCTCATCGCCAAACAGGTCAAGATGGAGGGCTTCCTCGTCGGCAACCCTGCATTCGGCCCTGCCTACTACAAGGAGCACCAGGAGAACCTCCAGAAGTGGCTTGCTGACGGCAGTGTCAAGGCCAAGCTTTTCGTTACCGAGGGTATTGACAACGCCGCTGAGGGTTTCATTGGTATGCTCCAGGGCAAGAACTTCGGCAAGGCTGTCCTCAAGCTCAAATAAATTAATGCGATATGATGATGAATTGTATAAATTGGGATGGGTCATATAGAATCACATAATGAAAAGTTATAATGAACCAAAAATTCTGGGAATAATTGTGGCTTTGGCTGTTCCGTGCTACCGCATTATGCATCTGTGAGACTGTCTATGGGTCAATTCGCTTTTAGCAGCGTTCGCATGCCATTGAACGATATATCTATGCATTAGCTTTAGCTTCTGAGCATATATAAGACCCTGAAAACTAGTGTAGAAAGAAAATCCCGGCTTGAGAAGCGCATAGCCTTATATGGCATGTAGTCTTCAAGTTAATCTCGAATCCAACAATACTGCAGCAAAATGCCCCGATACAAGTGTTGAAATG